AACTACTGAATGTAAAAGAGAAGAGGGGAAAAGGATCCTAGAAGCCAAAGGACTTACAATCGTAGCATGAATTATGATTTATTACTGTCAAGCATGATTTTCTATTATTATACTTGCATGGTTCAGTGAAGATATAGATGCATCAAATTATTAAAGCTCCCTTCTAGACCTCATTCACATTGCTGCTGGTATTTGGGTCCGGGTAGAATCATTGAGACATTATTTGGGAAGGCAAAAGAACCCAATATATCCACAAAAGATGCTCTAAAATACTATTTACATATTACAACATGATAAAAAAAATAATAGTTAAATTTAATTTTAGATGGTTCCCTCACAACAATCTTTTCATCGATAAAACGATAAACTAACACACATAAATTGCTGTGTCCAGTTACCGTATGATTTATTCACAAATAACCAGTTGTTATGCAATATGGATGAAGAAAATGTATTAATTATGTATAAAACCTAAATCATTTCCGTACTTATCTGTGATCATTTTTTCATTCACATCATATAACTGTCAAGTTGGCTTGCCCTACTTTTCACAGTGCAAACCAAAAGTGAACAATGCATCTTGGCAGCAAGCCCAAGATAAACTTACTCCAGAGAATAAAGCAGAGCAGTCAGAGACTAGTTGAGCTATATTCAACGCAGCTGGTGACACAATTGACTCTGCGACAGTAACATGCATGAAATAAAATGTAGCCAAGTGGTCGATAGCAGAGGCACACTGCAAACAGAGAAGACAATTACAGAACAAATAGGTAAATCAGATAACATGCTGACTTAGCCATGGTTGTTTCTCAGTTGACAAGCACATGATGATGGATGTTTTATTCATGGATCAAAGATTTGCTTCTAATAATTTAACGAAGGCCAGAGGGGTTGGCAAAAAAATGTGAAAGCTTAACTGCAAGAGTTACAAAAAAAATGGTGCTTCTACCAACCTGTGATGATATATTCTCATTTAAATCTTTAAGGCCTGATTCGAGAGATCCAACGAGATGCATAAATGTGGACTTATCCAAACTCAAAACAAATGATAAATGACTGCTGAAGAGGGTTTCCAAGAATGCAAAGTAAGCAGTTGTGAGCTGGGAAAGAAGAGACAATAAATGAATTCTTAAAATAGACAGATACATAATTTAAATAACAATGAATGCCAGTTAGGATGCTACTAAATCTTGTGATAAGTGCATTAAAGAGATATATACATACAATCGCACACATACATATTGTCGGTGATTGATTTGTTATTTGTGATGTTATGATCGGGTATCACTTGATGCTTTTAAAGTTAAACCAATTTAACTGGTAATATATATTCTTAGAACTTCATAGGTGAAAGATTTAACATAACAAAATCTAATCTCATCTTTTTGTATAAAATGAGTGCTGATTGCTGATTGGGTCTTTCCTAACGGAAGGTTTATGATACTAACCAAAACCAGTGTGATAAAGTTAACAGGTAATATACACAAACTAAACTGCATGCATATCACAAGTTCAAGCAGGCAGAGACATAAACAGGGACCAAAACCAAAAAGGACAAGGGACAAATGCCACCTCAGGTAGGGAATTTTTGGAAAAATATGTACATAAGCATATATGTCTGTATGCATGTATATAAGAAAATTAAATTTTGTTATAATTTGTTATATTAGATCTTTTATATATGAGCCACACAGGCTAGCTCATCTAGAAAGGAAGGGATCTGGTATGATAGTGGCCAAGGATTCAAACCCTCCTGATATAATAGAAAAAGAAAGAAACGGCTAGAAAATCTCTTCCCCAATCACTTGACAAGTATTATTCTACACAAAAAGAACCTTACAAAGGTTTTGGAAATTGGCACTGATGTTGATTTGGCAAGATCAGGAGCTAGCAACAGTACTTTGCATGGTAGAGTTCCCTAGTGTGGAAAAAGCTAGTGATGATTAGAAGCGCAGAAATTAAGTTCCAAGAGCCTGCCCTTGGAATTTGTGAAGAAACATGATCATGGCAGACCTCAAGTAACCTCTCTATAATCCCGTGAATGTTTATGGTAATAATCTGGCCATAATTGGGATTGATTAAATCCCAATATATCTTAACCAAAAAAGTAAAACAGATAGACTAAAACTTCATCAAAGAAAAATTTAAGTCACAAATTATGGAGCTGTTGTCTCAAGCAGCAGCCTTGCTAAAGCATGGTGAATATATTCATATCCAACATTGAGAGCGTTCAAATAGCTGTCATTTTTAGTGTTCTATTACTTTTTGTTTATATATATGCTTTGTGTTTTTTTTTTTTTTACTACTCTTTCCAATGTTGTATTTCAAACAGTTTCCTTCTTCCTCTATCTGCTGTTATGTTTAAGGAAGTTTGAAGGGAGGTGTATTTTTTTTTTTTTTTTGGGGGGGGGTGTTGGAGTTAATTTTCCCTACCCATGCCTCCGAAATTGGAGAATTTTAGCCAATTTATACATGTAGTAAATTATACCTATCTTTTTATTTCCAAAATTACCCTCAGTATCTCTCAATTTCAGTTGCGCCTTCATATCGCTCTTCCACCATTCCTGCCCTGCTTCTTCATTCTGCATCAAGTGAGCAACAAGGTCTGCACTCTCTAGTACGTCACATCATCACTGTTGCTTCTTCAAGTATTATGGAAATGGTCGAGTTCCTTTAATCTACCTTCCTGAGCAGTGATCATCTTAATATTTTTTACAATTCTCTAAACATTTTTGCTAGCATGAGGCAGCACTTGAACACTTCCTTCTCTGTATGCTGTTAATTCATGGCTCGTACTTTATATTTTGTAATGCAAGCCCCTGAGGAATGAAGAAAAATTTTGATTCTCTAATTGGCCCCATGCGCTGGAATCACATGGCATTTAGAAAGGGAGGACAGAACAAAACAATAAAATTATTATTTCCCCTCCTCTCCTTCCAAACCAAACAAAGGACATTCAAATCCCTCACCTTCCCTTCCCTCCCCTCTAACTAAACCAAACAAAAAAAAAATCCTCCCCAACCACTCCCCCAAAAATTAAAAATAAAATAAAATCCTTCCCCTCCGTTAAACCAAACGAACCTTTAGTCCATGGGTGAGTTTTACCTCTGCATTTTTGGCCATTTTGAAAGGTTGGATTGCTGCCTTCAAAGACTTGTATATTTGCATTACCTTTTGACAGCAGAAACCAATGAAATAAGATCCGTAGAATTAGATTCTCTTCTTCCCCTCAAATTTTCATAATCTTTTGTTTTATTTTGATAGCAAGATTTCCCAAAAAATTGGGATGGAGGGATGAAGATTTAGGTCTTCCTCCTTCTTCTCACATACTCTTTTGCATCACCAATAAGCTAAAGATCAAAGGACATAGTGCCCTGGTCATTCCTTCGAAATTTTACAATTTTAGCAAGGCTAATTGTTAATAATAAACAGAGACGCTAATTTGTGCATAAAAAAGGATAAGGAAACTATCATGTTCCCTATTCTAACATCATGTAACAAGCAACTCGGAGCTCCATGTTGCAGCCAAAATAAGTCACCTCTTCACCCCAAATGTAGCCAAAATATTCCAATGCCTTAAACATTAATGAATGTAAATTTTACTTTAGAAATAAACCATACTCCATAAACAATAGAAAACTCCTATGAACAAAACGATTAAACAATTCATAACCTTTTCACAGTTTTTTTTTTATTAAAAAAAAAAGGCTATCAAAGCAACAGTTGCTAATATGCAATCAACCAAACTGTAAAAAAGTGGCAAACTGAACTCAAACATGATAATCTAACCATCTCTAGAAAGTTAAAAAATAAATCAATAAACATTAGTATTAACAAAATAGAAACAGCCAAAATTGCACGATTTATTTCAACAAAATCTTAAAAAAATTTGTGGCAAATCTTCAAAAGTTCAAATGCAACAATAAATTTCAAAACACCAAAGAGGCAAAGTAAATCTCAAGCTATGAGTAATACCTTTCGAAATGCAAATACATCAGCCAAAGGAATGGATAATATCATCTTTACAATGATATCTAGAGCATCCACTAACGCTCTATCACCATAAAGCTCAAAACACCAAAGTTGACATAGTTCCCAGATAGTGCTGGCATGCAAAGAAAAAAAAGTTAAGCCCAGAGTTGATGTGAAAATGAATATAATTATAAACAAAGAAAAATTAATCATTTGGTCCCTATAGCTTTTACCAACTCAATTTCTAAACTTTGATTTGACACAAGTCAGCTCCTAAACTGACTCTTGTAATTCAGTTCCTGTAGTTTCCTATATTTAAAATATTCTCTCTACATTTTAGAAAATAAAATTATAAAAAATAATGTTATTAATAAAGCTTAGGGACAAATGTTTAAAATGGCTAAGACTATAAGGACCAAGTTGCACTAAGTCAAACTATAGGGACAAAGTTACAATCAAGTCAAAAGTATAGAGATCCGATGATTAACTTTCCCTTATAACCAATGATCACTAAATTGTCTTTCTTTCTTTCTTTCTTTTTTTTTGAAAAGGAAAATAGGTGGTTAAGTAATATCATAAAGAATGCTGCAGAATGATAATCAACGATTTTAAAACCTGCTCACGGAATACATAAAACATGCTGAAAAGTACCAGAGACTTGCAAGATTTCATGCATTACAAGATACGTTTAAATTACTTGTTGTGGAGAAAAAAATGCAAGGATCTACACTAACAATTACCTTTGCCACATTCTCGCCCTCAAGAATAACAATAAGAACAACAAAACTAATCAGCCCTCTCAGTTACAAGGATCACATGACATTGTTGTTCTTTATCGTCAACTAACTCTTCAAATGTGAAAAAAATAAGATTGAAAGAGGAAAAAATATACATTTTGATAATATGAAAATGTTGGCAAAGTATGATCATACCTCTTGTGAGAATTGACAAACAAATTGATATCCCCTTGTATTTAAATGTATACACATCCGCTCTATTAGGAAGAGGTAATATTCTTGACCCATAGGCCACAATCAGTTTACTGACTTCACGGAAAAGCAGTATACCATTTGGGGAAGATGAATCAAAGATCAATCGCTGTGATTTGTTCAGGACTAATTCATCCACAAATTTCAACACCGGAGTTGTTACCTGCATTGCTTGATTTTATCAAAAGTACACCAGTATGATAATAATTTTTTTAATTACAGGTGAATTTTATACAAGCCTATAGCAGCAATGTGTTAAATTGAAAACATATATAATATTAGCTAAAATGTGTTCATGTTTATTTTGTGTATTAGACATTGAAGAGTTTTAGTTCATATTTTGCTTTCTTACAATGACACTCAGCCAATATGTAATAATATTTGGTTGCAGCCATATAAAATTTCAACTTGAAGGAGCTGGCCATTCTCTTAAACGGCAACTTGATAAATGCTTTGCAGCATTAGCATGGTTCACCAAGCCTTTTATGCAATGGTACATATCTTGGATTTTCTGAATATTCTCATTGTTTTTTCTTTCTTGTTAACTTTAGTCCTTCATAGTGCACATCCCAACAAATAAAGAGGAATTTCATCCCGTCTCCTTCCCCTCAAGATCCAGAATAGAATCATCAGAGGAAGAATTTCATCTTGGATCCAGCAGCCTATCATATACAAAGAAAAATGAATAGACCAAGAATGATTTCATGCGGTATTCAAATAGAATTAGATGTTCGTTAGCAGAGAAATTACTGCAAAGAAAAAAAATGCGGGGGCAGTCTCAATCCTTAATCCACGTAATGAAATTCAGTGATCGCTCAATAAAATGCATTAAAAAGGATGAATCTTACCTCCGGAGAATTAGCCCAATGCAAAATGCCTTTCAAAAGAATAGACATGCGTGCTGGATAGAGCCAATCAAAAAGGAAGCCATACATCCTACGACTGCAACAGACAATTCAAATACAGACAGAATATAAATACAGGCAACTAAGGGGAAAATAATATGAAAGATCAAAGATGTAATAACACAACAAAATCTTCACCAAATAAAACAAAGATTCAGGTGTTAAATGACTATCAACCTGTTAGTTGCCATTGCTATCCCTCGAAGGTCCCGCATTAATCCAATCAAAGCAAATTTTCCAGCATCTGATCGGAAAATTGCATCAGGCGCTGATTCCAACTTAAGAAAAACCTTGTACATGACAAATATTAATTAGAATGAAATTTAACCAAATAGATGAATGAGTATTAAAATGTCAATTATCTCACAAATCACATGTTTTGTCATCATACTTCAAATTTTTTAAAACAATTACACGCCAAGATATGAAGGTGCAACATTTATCACTTGTCACATAAGGTCATCTGAAGCATTTTATCACCAATTAACAAACTATGGACAGAAGAAAAGGTCAAACTCAAATAGAGAAATTAGAAAGTACATGAATGATACAGTCCCACAAACCCCAACAATCCTTAATCACATACAACTTGTGATTTATTTGAATTTGCATTGTATTTGAAGATTCTCCTTGATCTATTGAAGTCATTAGTGTTTTCAGATTCTGGCATTATTATCTCCAGTAGAATTTCCCTCTATTTCTCTTCCTAAACCCAGATCTTATCAATGAAACCTGTTAGCAGTTGATTCACAGTTGGTAAAGGGCACAATTGCAGCATGCTCCATGTAGTCGAGCCCACTTAGTGGGACAAGCTTGTTGTTGTTATAATAATCAGAATTGATGAGCATCTTCTCAAAATATTAAACCATATGACTCAGCAAGTCTTAACAGGAAGTTTTTTCTTTTGGGTAAATGAACATGAATCTTTTACCTATGAGAAAACATCATAAATCTGGTTTTCCGGTTTGGGAGTAGGGGGTGAGAGAAGCCACACTCTCCAACTAAAAGCACAGGCCAATATTGAATTTGATCTATCATATCAGATTCAGAAATCAAAGGAACGTGCAGCAGGATCACTTTAGTCAACATGAAAACCGTTGAGTTATTTGACTCTTGGGTATGTGATCCAATAGGTTTGGTATTCAGGATCCCTTACATATCACTTAAGCAATATTAATAATTATCGCTCCACCTTAGGAGCTGAAAACAACTTTCCTAGTTCAATCGTTCTGCCCCTTTCATCAAAAATAAACAATTTCTATAACTTGAACTAGGATGGCAAACAAAAACAACCAACCTGCAGAAGATGTTCCATTGAAGACCTAAATTTCAGGGGGCTATCTTCCATGAACACTAACATGCCAAGTGTGTAGTAAAACATGGTTCTGCTGCGGAAACATTCTACATTTTCTAAAAATGGGAATTGCTCCCCCTGAAAAAGGAAAGATGAATCGTGCTTTGGTGATCTGAATCTGAAAGCAAATTACACACACATTTATATACATGAAATCAATTTCTCTCAGCTCAGTTACAATCCTTGTACAAATTCCACTTGGCCCATGCACTTCCAAATAAAAGCAGGGTTCATTCCAAACTTCTAAATCTCTTAGCAATTTAACCCATCAAAAACCGTATCACCTTTTCAGGCTTCAAACCATGTGGGAGATATTTTTTAGATAGATTTCTATTCAGATATACAGAAGGATATTTACACTTTTATATTTTTGTGCTTCATTTTTTTCAACCTAGCTCGGAAGGATCTTCAGCTCCCATTCGCTTGTTCCAGTTCAGTGTGTTCACCAAAGTTTCATCTTCAGTAAGTAAAACAAAATACAAATGTCCTACATCTTTGCAGGTGCCAAATAACAAATCATATTCATTCTCCTTTGACTATAATTTCTCTCTCTTATCTGAAGTTCAAGTTCAACTATAATTTCAACCAAAGCAATAACAGCATATGCCTGAGCACATCAAAAAGATGCATCTTCTTCATCATTGAAATTTATTATTACTTCTTTTGTTGATCATGTCCTATGTGAAAACCATCCTCCATGCTGCAATGTCCAACAAAGACATATAATGCGAGCTTAGACACTGATAGTATAATATGTCAATGGAGAATGGTTGTCACTAGGTAGGGAACAAAATTTTATGTTAAAAATCTGGTGCTGGTGAAGTTGATACAGATTGTCTCTTAACCCATTCAACACAGTTGGGTTGATGATGGGTGGGCAAGATATCTAGAACATCATCCATGAACCAACCTTGAGGTCAGATGCTTAACAACTTATCTTAGGAAGTGTAGTTAGAGAGGAGATGGACCAGCAAGTATTGGCTAACATATAAGAGATGGATAGCCTTACTACAACTAGCTTGGGCTGGGCCATGAAGTTGAGCATCTCCAACTTGCTAGGGTAGTAGCTACACAGTTCTTTACCGAAAGTGCTTCCAAAAATAAATGGAATAGATGATACTTACAATCTGGTTTGATATTATGCGTTGAACTGTCTCCAACTTAAGAAGCAGCTTTCCTGTCATAAACCTAGAAAGGATACAAGATATGAAATGGTACGAAACAAGGAGGGGCAATATGATACTATAAGGAAGTTGAGATGGAACACAACTAACCAGATGTCATTTCTGAAAGAGGCTTAAAGTGTGATCAACAACCTCTTTGCACTGGAAAGAGATCCTAAAGTTAATGAATGAATTATACTTGAAATGCAAGGAAATATAGAATATATAATTATTCATCACCTCTTTGTAAGATTTAAGATTAGTAGCAATCTTTCCCACAATAACATTCAGCAGTAGTAGATGATCATGGAGTCCTAGAAGTTCAGATAATCGGGCATATAACTGCTATGGAGTCCAAGGAAGGAAATGGCAATAATTAAACCTTCTCAAAATCATAAAATTTTTTAAAAGTAATATACATCTATGCTGCTACCTTGGAAGGAAGAACAGCATGGTCACCAATATAACACTTTCTAAGATGTTGTAAGAAGGTTAGTATAGCTCGATCAAGTCTTTGCTTGCTAATATCTCCATACCTCTGAAAATATCCAACAGAACCATGGATGCAGTGCAGTGACAAGAAAAATAATGAACAGGACTGACGTTTAGCCGCCGAACATATAGGGGAAAAAAAGAACTTTAGCATGTTCACTGAGGAAGGATGACATTTCTGCTACTAATAAATGATATCACAAGCAATAAGATAAATATAAATGAGAGGAATCTTAAAGATATAAGTTCCACGGAGCAGGTGACTGGAGATAAACCAGATTTCTAACCTCAGCCACTTTGTAAAGCAAATCATCAAGGAAATAAAACCACAGACCATACACAACACACACACACCCCTCAAAACAGAATCCTCAACCTTAAAGAATAAACAAAAACATATAACATATCTTCGAGATAATTTTTTATATAAAATGAAGAAGAAACAAAAATAAAAAAGGTTATCACAAAATTAGATTAAGCTCATGCAACTAGAACACTAAAAGTTGTGAACACTGAACAACCAGAAGAGTGCGCCCATGCATACCATTTCAAGTGCAGCAAACATGCCAAAACAAATATGTAACAAAAGAATGTGAAATCCAAGAGCATTCCAAATTTAGTGGAATGGGGGAACCAACTTGACTTTCAGACCATATTATGGAATATGCTATGAAGACAATATCCATGGCACCATGACACAGTGCCGTCAAGTCAGAAGACAGTTATCAGGATTGCAGTTAACTTCTTGCTAAAGAATGAAGTATATTACAGATAACAGTTATCTATGAACAGAAACCGAAAATCTTGAAAACCATAGGCCTAATTAACTTGTTTTTATCCCAAAAACGATGTTGAATGAATTAAAAAATAGTGGTTCCATTGAAAAAAAAAAACACATGAAGATCATCAAAGACAAGCTGCATACACATTTTATCATAAACAGATCTGAAGGGGAGATTTATCCTGGAAGATGAGGGGATTCTCCTCCAACCAAACAACTCAACAAATCCTATAACCTTTATGTTGCACAATGTTTTGTTTCTCTTGCTATTGTCAAATCCTTTGTATAAAATCACTAGAAACTGTTTCAAAACACTAACACAAGCCTAAAATTTGCGAAAAAATATAACAGATCTTCTTATTTAAAGGGAAATACAGTACTGAACAGCAGAGAAATAATTGGAACAGAGTTTCCAAGCTCAATCTGCACATGACACACATCAGGAAAAAGCTATTGGACTTACAACATGCTAATGTTTAATTTTTTAACTATTGTTGTCAAAAAGGATTTGATCTTTAGAAAGGAGCGTTACAGTTCCAAATTGGCTTGTCAACAAGAAACAGTTCCATTCTACTAAAAATGGGATTTACAAGAAAAAATATCAAAAGATTACGATTCCAAAGTCCTAAAGATGCCAAATACACCTCTATCCCCTAAAAGCAACTGGAGGCAAGGCATAGTAAATCCAGCATCACACTATAACCAGATAAGCTAAATAGCAGCAGCCAAAGCTCATAACAACTTTGCCCTTCAACAAGAAGCCTTATCCCACTAAGTGGGGGAATTTTGCCCTTCACTTTAAACTAATTCCAAAAACTCAAATGGGAAACACCTTGGGCATACAGAAAATGTCACGAAGCCATTGCACCCAAACCTCATCAGACCCAATCAAATTAGTGCACAAAAAAGGAAATTAATCAAATGGCACAATTCACTTCAAATCAACTCCACAAAGAAACAAACTAAGTATCTCATATCTTAAGTCTTTAAATGAATTCAATCATATACACCCCCCATATCATATATATCCTTTAAAACAACCAAATTTAGTAGAATGTCAGAAACTGATGTGGGAAAAAAAACTCAACTTAAATATCTTGGGCCCATATTTTTAGCAACTATAATAACTTCTGCATCAATTACTGTTCTAACTATAACTAAGCTGTGATAAAGGTTATTATACTTTATAACATGGAGTTAAAAGATACCACACAATAATGGTTGAAGTTGAGAAATGGAATGTGGAGAATTACTCCAAATTGAAAGCATTAAATATGCAATTCAAAAATAGGAGCGCATTATATTGCGCTCAGATAGGTTTTACACGATCAAGAGAGTTATTTGGTCCGGGATAAAATTGACAGATTCCATTAGACCCAACCTACAAACATAAAGATCTTGTGATAGAATTTACACAAGCATTTTGCAGAAAATTTATATATGAAAAACTCTTTACCACAGGGCAGACTAAGTTACCTGCCCAATTTTGCAGACAAAATCCAAAAAATATTCACATACCCTACTGTGTAATCCACTGTCAGTGATATTAATCAACTGCAGAACACGTGCTGAAATCTCTGCATCAAGTATCTCATGTGATTCTCCACTGCAATTAAGAAACAAAAAGGAAAAAAGAGCTATTACTGTCCAGAAATGCTTACTCAACCCAATTTGTTTTGACAATTACCTAAAACCAGAAATTTGTTTAATCTTCAGAATTGCAGCAACTATGTGAGTGAACCAAGCAAGTTTGGCTTCTGTTACAGATATTTCATAGTTGTCTACAGAGATTTGGGCATTAGCTTCATTCTGCATAAATTAAATCAAGATATAAGTACAGTCAGAATATTTTTAAGAGAATTACACATAAAGTTGACACGTCCAAAAGAATGCTAGAGAATACCATATAGCTGTCTATGATAGGTTCCACAATCTTCATCAAATATGAACTGCAACTTTCATACTGGAAAGTCATAGAGATGTTAACATGATCAATAGAAAAGAAATGACTGCATATATGATATTTAAATTTCAAGCACATAAGCTTGAAGCACCTGATATCTGCAGAGGTAAGGAAAGAAATCAAGCTGATCCTGAAGCACCTCCACATTGTCCAGGGGATCTTCACCAAGTTCATCAGACTGTTCAGACTACAGTAAAAGGTTATAAAGGGTATATGCACATAATTCACTAATGTAAGGCATGATTGCAACTAGAATTGACTCCACCTGACCTGCAATGAATCAAATCTAGAAGTAACAAAACCTTCTATGATTTTAGGCACATATTCATCCAGCAAGATGGGTTTGTCACTCTTCAGATACTTCACAGATGTTACTGATCTAGACCACAAACCTAGAAGGTAGTAAACACTGCTGCCAGCCCACTGAAATAAGAAACGTTATCACACAAAAGAAAAGAAAATGCGACAACAATATATATACATATATAAATCAGCTTCAAGACTATCTAATCCCCAGTCATATCTGCAAATAAACATTCCTGAATTCCCTTAAAAAACATTCAAATATAATTTCTTAGTAGAACATATCAAGTAGTCTACCTTCCAAGAATGCAAAGATTTCAATGTGAACTCTGCCACTAATCGTATCCAATCACTGTAGCCTTCAGCATTCACAAGTTCCGATAACTGCATTATTCTTAGAAGAGCCACATGAGATTGCCTTCACTATTAAATAAAATCACCACTAGTATGCCTATGACTTAAGTTAACTGCGGAGCATAGCATGAACCAAATCTACTACAACAAAGAGGACAGGAAGTAAAAAGAGAACAAGATTGTCATCAATCCACTATACCTGTTATCACGTTATATTTCCAAATTGATGTGACACAGAAGTGAAGATGGGTTAGCTAGCAAATGCGACAAGCCAAGATTTTATGAATTTCATTAATGATACAAGTAAGATCAAATGTGTCACGTGAACTTCATGAAATTAACAACATATGATTCTTTCACAGAACTTCCCATTCCATATGAATATGTATACTATTAATTTCTAAACCTAATCTTTTGTATGTTTAACCAAACTACATGTATAACTAAAAGCTGCTGGCAACCATGAAGTTCAACTTAATCATTGGGAATGAAAATGAGAGACCTTTAATTCAAACAGAAGGTATAATGTGGCAAATAAATAAATCATTAACACAAATAATACAAGAAAATTTTTATACAGAACCTAAAAGAAGGTAAGATTCACCTGATAATTCACTTTAAAGCGACCAAGAAGACGACAAAATGCATGGTAGTTATCATGCTCTGCAAGACCTGCTTTACCATTAAATTGTATTATCAATGCCTTTCTAAGTAACAATGATATACGGTATGTAGCTGCTAGATATTTGATATCCAACTGATTTGAGAAAACAGAACTCAGAAAGAGCTTCATGTCAACTTCAATGAGCACTAACATATTCTTAATAGTCATGTCTGCAGAGTTTGACAAGAATGTTATATATGGTGGGAATGATAAGGGGGACATTTGAAATTTTCATTTAATGATCTTGATAAAAATTTACCATGATGGCACAGGTAGGAGACCACACTTGGTCACAGATATACAACAAAAATGCTCTAAGAGTGGTCAAACAAAAAAATTAATGAAGTTTTCTATACCTTAGAGAAGTAAGAAAACTTGGAAGCAGTACAAAAACTACAAGTAGAAAGTCATTGTATAGTAGATATATGCAGTTCATTTAAAATAGGTTGTAAACTGTTTATGAAAACTCAATAACCATACAGTTGAAACCAGCTTATCTTCTGAAGGATCTCACTCTTTTTTCTCAAAACATAAAATTTGAGTCCAAAATCTTCTCATAATCGGGAGTCCATGCATGATTACAGGATAAAAAATGGAAGTTATGAAACATAGGCCTAGAGATGTCAATGAATAAAAGGAAACAAGAGAAAATTGGAAGTGAACATATTACATTGTAAATTCCAAGGTACAAACAACTATAAAAGTTAGAAAATATCAACTAAAAATTTTTAGTATCCTTAACCTAGGCAAAGGATAATATGAATTGACTGATAAATGTCACAATCATTAAAAAGGACTGCATCATTCATGTTCCTATCAAGATTGAAAATAGTAAACATGATGAGCCAATCAAGAATCAACAGAGATACAACAACCAGTTAAAGCTCAACACACATGTACTTTTAAGCAGAAAATTACCACTAAGCTAGAGCGAAAAAAGAAATAGTCACTTAACCTATCCCTGTTTGCAATATTTCCTTGGTTCCCTGCATTAACTGTGACAAAAACTTTAGTCGAGCAGCATCACTGGCAAACACAGATCGCCTTGCAGAAGCCAATCGCAACAGGCACTCCAATGCCTTAAAAAATTATAGCTCATAAGGTGATGATAATACCATAACTTGAAGATAAAATTAGGAAAGATTCCCAAAAAGAATTTATCAAGAGTAAGAGAATCAACCATAAATTTGCTTTTCATGATGTTAGAATAATAAGCTAACACATTATGATTTGAAGATATTTTCAACATCATCATGAGAGAGAACAAAAAACAAAGAACCCCAGTTAAGATAATGATAGGAGCTCAAACGCAGAGATGTAAAGGTTCAGACTGATTATAAAATGACTTAACGGAGATAGCTCTCAAGATCAAAATCTGAACTACCATGCTACGAGTATGAGATGAAAACACCAGTAACATTATAAAATTTATAATAGCTAGAACTTATAAAATAGTATTATTCATATGAACTTTCATTATATCCATTCATTAAAATGCTTCAAGAAATTAAGATAACTCGAAAGGCAAATTCTAGCAAATGCTAACTAGATTTTTCAAAAACAACAAAGGCCAAATCACATAACATCTATGAGATGGCAGTGATAGAACAAACATCCATAATTTTCAATGTGAATTTGGAATCACAATATGCTACGGTTAGTCAATACCAGTCTCCATACATGCATTTACAACTTTAGAATACAGAGTCAACTCTTTTTGCCAGGAGAAAGATGGCTAAGGCTTAAACAAAGGCTTTCAAAATGAAAATAAGAGCCAGACATGACTTTGAAAGAACCCATAAAAAAATATTTGTAAATGAAATTTTAAAACAGAAGCACACTGAGAGCCACTCCTCATAATGAAGTACAGGAGATGCACAAGGGGAGGAAGCAACTTAGAAAAGGCTACAACCATTGATCACGAAGAAAGGATATGATAAGGTTCATAACAGAAACGGGGGTAAGGAAGAGGGAGAAGATGAAGGTTTGGCGTAGCAAAGGGAATGGGCAGTGTTTGGGAGAAGTTGGAAGTTTTTTTTAATTAAAAAAAATCTTCAGCTCCAGCACGGAGGGAGATCAGACCTTTTTTTTCCCCTGGAAGAAGTCTCAACAAGGGAGAGTAATGGAGCCTCTGGAGTGCCAGCTCACTACTCTATGCTATTTTGATTTAACCACCTCGTATCTCTGGGTTCTGTTCTAGCCTCTCAGTGTAAGAAAGGTGCTGGGTTTTGGCTGAAATCAGCCAATGATCCCCAGATGTGCTTCCTTTACACTAACTGTTTACTTCCAATTACTTAATGTGGGAGAGCTTAAGTTAAAACCTCACACGGCTCCTAACACAATTGTTTTTCAAATATATTTGGAGAGTGTTCTTGTAAAGTCGTGTTTATTTCAAGAAAACTAAATGCATGCTTCAACAAGCAGTATTGACTCCTTATTTGAAAATTGGAATGATAAGGAAAACAAAACCTCATGAATCGGATATGAATGAGTCAGAGGCAGAAAATTAATATACGATTAAGGACAAGGAAATGATATTAGTCATGCGTTTCCAAAAAAATATATCATGTTGTAAATGCATAAACCAGCTTAATAGATATAATCATGACCGAGCATATTTAAAAAGTAAAACAAATTAACTTGTAGTAGAAGAAATGAGTGAAGGAACAGAATGAAATTCACATGATCCTCAACCTCCTGATTCAACCTAATAAGCAACACTAGCATGCCATACGGTATCAATGAAAATAAACAACATAGAGATTGGGCTGACAAGAATCATTACTGATATTCTATCAAAAAATTCTTCAGAAAATCATTTTATCAAGTGTAAAAATTAAAAAAAAAGAAAGAAGGACCAAAGAGTAAACCAAATTGACGAAGATTTTTCACCACCTATTAAACCAATCCAGCTCAAAAAACCGCTGCCTCAAAATAAAATATACATTGAAGGATACTTGAGAGCGTTGAATTTCCCATCTATGGAACCATACCTCCTTTGAAAATGGTTGATTCATTGCATAATAATCAAAAAAGATTTGCAGTGTTGAGGAATCCTCAAGGACTGGCTTCCAAGAAGTTGGAACCTGCACCGTCAAATCTAATTTTGAAAACAAGAACCCTATAAAAAATTTAAATATATATAAATATATTGATGAGTTCAACCGGTAAGCAGGTTTAGCACAGGAATATACCTGAACTGTGCCAATCTCATCCGAACTTTCATCATAGGATGTCCCCATAAAATCAAATGATAAGCACCGAAGAGAAAGCAAAAGAGATAATTCTTGCAACTTGCTTCCAACTAAAGTTGTTGTGCAAACAAAAAAAAAAACGGTTTACTAAGTGACCTTATTCAAGATTTCTAAAGTGAACAACACATTGGTACACACACATATTCACATGGCCATAAGTTTAGCATACCATCATTTTTGAGTTGGATAAGAGAAGTTAATGATATCTGGAACATCTGAAAGAGTGATTGATCCTTGAAAGAGCTAGCTATCCTACGCTGACGAGTAGGAGGTATCCGAGGAATAGCTGAAAATGGAAACGAATAAAATAGATGACAAGATCATCAGAAGCCTAAAAGGAAATGAAGTTTTGGGATAAAACAAATATTAATTCAGTTGCCAAAGTAGCAATTGAATTGTAGACCTTAGTCAAGAGCTCAAAATAGGTATTGAACGTAAACATTGAGAGACACTATGAAAACTATTTACAATTTTACTTAAGTAGAGGGACTATAAACACTATTTACATGTTACTTAAGTAAGAAGATGGAGAAGACTGCAACCAATGCAACAACTAAACAATTACCTAAACAATAGATGGATGGATGGATGGATAGACAATACATATAGAAAGAGTTCTATGAAGCAAAATCGAATTACAGAGTATGAACACCATTCCTCACAGTAAACCAAAATATAAAAAAGCAGACATCTAAAGTAAGTTTTTTAATTATGGAAATCAAAAACTGCAAAAAAGATAGCATACTTGTTTAGCATCAACATGAAATAACTTCTCTGATGATACATAAAATGCTAACATACGAACCTGATTTATCTCAGAAATGAGCTGGTCCAAAATCTTCAAACCAATAGCACAATGAGGTGGTGCCTGCTGACACAGCTTGAGCATGTGATTCCGATATAAATACTAGGAAAATACAAATAAGAAACACCAAAACTAAAAATAAACCAAAACATTGGATAGCATTAGCACTACATTCCAAATCTAAGCCATTATAGGACAGCAACTAGAAAAAAAGATGTATTTTACTGAATAACCAGAGTATGACATCATACTATATGAAATTCGGGCTGCTAAACATCCAAGACATCTAGGATAGGAAATGAAAAATACCAAGACGATAAAATAGCTGCAAGAAATACAAAGTATCACATGTTGACAGGCATGTGTCTATGTTCTAGAAACATATTGTATCACCTGACTTAGGGAATTCATCCCTTCTTTAACAACCTCTTTGAATCTGTCATCCTCTAGCCACCCAAACTTTGTAATGCGACAGAAGAGTTGTATCAAGGATCCAAGCACAAAGGGTTCCAAATCAGCTCCTCTTCTGGCCAGATAGTTTATAAGATAATTCCTTCACAGAAAGCACATTTGGTCAATTTTTGGGACAAAAACTGTTGAAATAAGAAAAATAATAAGAAAAAAAAAGTTTGATAATCTAAAACGATGCAACCAAATTCCTACAACCCAACCTGAAATGGAATATCTCTGATAAATGGTCCAACAGAATAGAATATACAATAATTGCAACTTGAGAAGTTAACATGGAAAACAATCTATTGATACTTAAGAGACCACAAGTATCAAAAGCAAAATCTATAGATTGACCTATAACAGTCCTAGGGTTAAATCATTTGCCAAAAACAAGAACATTACGAATGTCAAGTAGAAGCTGTAAAGGAAGGCTGTGCTCTGTCACTTGCTTCAACAAGCTTGAACTAGCAAACATCAAGGCATAAGGAGATGATGTATTATCCAGAATATATTGACACTGTGTGATATATTCAACATTTAAGGAAAAGCACTTCAGGGTACTCTCTGCATGTGCTCGCTCAACAGAGTCCTGTGACTTGTAAAGCCTTTCACACAAAGTTTCCAAGTGCGCTAAAACTCTCCATCCTTCACTGCTCAGAAAGACTGTCCAATATTTCAGTTTAAGCTCCTTTTACAATTTAACGAATGTCAGTATACAAATTTCATCG